CTAGTGAGATGTATTGTTTTATATATAGAAATATAGAATTCAAATTATTTTTTTATATTTATTGGTTGAAGGGTATTCTCGAGCTAACTTTCGTATCAACCGAAACCAAGTCTCGTCATTTCTTGGGCTAAGCCGGTGCTATAATATATTTAGCCCTTGATCAACCATTAGGCTCCCTCTTTACACCAAATTAACCCAAGGCTAGTACAACTAAAGAATAATTATGGCTAGTTATTCGTAGATAATGGAAATTAAACTTTGGTCTTGGTTAAACCAAAACAACTCTCTTATCACTAAACCACATCCTTTGGCGATATATACAAAATTCAATTTTCATATATTTCTTCTCTCTTACAATATTATTTTATGGTATCGAGCCATTAAAAAAAATTGATCTTAATTATACTAATATGTGATCTTTCAAGTCTTAGTAAATTAATCATGTGAACCAATATTTTAGTAACAACTAATTTACAGATATTTAATAGCAAGAATTTATATGTAGTCACATTTCCCTCCCTTTTTTTACCCCTTCAATCACAATCTCTAGATTGAAAAACTCAAGCATGGACCAATATATTCATACGTGAATTTAAGATTACTTACAAAAAAAAAAAAAAAAACTATCGTATTCTTTCATCATTAAAGGTGAATCTCAAATACATAGGGTAATAATCAAAGAAATTTAATAATCTAGCATTTAGAATACTTAAGTTTTATATTTATCATACTGTACGTATTCGTTGAAGACTTGAAATACCTTTTTATATTGACAAAGCTCAAATTGCCTCCAATGCCACATAAATTTGGTTTTTTTTGGCTTTTGCATCCAATATGATCAATATATCTAAAGAGAATTGGATATATTGTCTTTGTTGATTTTTCATTTATCTCAAAACATGACATCACAAAATAATAAACAATTTCAATGTCAATTATCATCGGCCAATGTAAATAATTTTATAAATCAATTCTCAATTTATTTATATTTGCATTAACAATAACATTCACATAAATAAATCAACAACCTCACTAATATCACAAATACGAACTTTCAATAATATCATTATTCTTTTTAAATAATAATATTTGATAGGTTACCGTAAGTTACAAAAAAATATTACGGATCAATATCTTTGTCATGCAAATTATTATCATTATTATTATCTCAATACTTATTTAATGCTCAGTGAAAACATGATCATTAAACACCAAGTAATTTATGACAATCAAAACCAAACAATAAGCATGTAGCAACATTGACGTTATACAAAAAAACATAATATTAAATTTCATGCCCAAATTCTTTTTATGATTTTAATCATTAAATCACGGACATAGTATCATCTCAAATTGTTATTCCTAACACATGAAAAAACAACATAATTAAATAATAAAAATTCACATAATAAATAAATAAATTTATTGTAAATTAAGATGAGAAAGAATTGAAACTTTTGACCTTCACCATTAAAAAAATTAGAGATTAAAATTATTTTTTCATGCGTTTATAGTATAAAGATGATCGAACCATTAAAATAATTTTATCGGAAAATTTAAGTTGGTTGTCTCGAGGCATAATCGGGTTACTTTTTTATAATGATAAATGTTATCCGTAAAATTTATTTGATGCAATAAATTAATATATATTACACGTCGTTTTAAAAATACAACAAACTCAGCCAACTTGTCATATGTTAACAAACAAGTTTGCACTATTTACAATACCTAAAACTCAACATAAATAAGCAGTATAACTCTTACTCAAATAAATGATAAATATAGTAATATAGCTTTTCAAAGAGGGACTAAAAAACAAGGTAGCAACAGAGCTAATTGTTCTTTAATGCCGCTATAGTCCTTGTAGAATGACAAAGACCCATATTTAGAGTCTTCAAGAGAAAATAATGTTTTAAAGACCATAATTGTCTTTTAAATAAAAACGGTATCAAATGGCTAAATAATAAATAAAATGCTTTTTACCATTTTATGATCACCATGAAAAAATAATCTTTTTTTAATCGTTTCTAGTCATTATAAAATCGTTTTTTACCGTTATACAAATAGTCATTTTTTGACTATTTTTTACAGTTGTTAAATGATTTTGTATTTAAAAGATATACTAATAATTACTAATAATATTAATCAAAATTAATATTATTTTCTATCAAAATAATCCAACAAGAACTAACAAGCATTAGTGTTGATGATTACGATCATAACCGTTGAATTCACTTTTGCCAATCTAACAGTAATTTAATATTTTAAATGTCCAATATTTAATTAGAACTACAGAAAAGAGATGCCCTTTTTCTATTGTACCAACTGGAATTATGACGGTAAAAGCTAAATATGGTGCCTGGCATTTGCCAAGACTAGTAAAATTACTTTAGGATTCTGTCTTTTTACCCGAAATGGGAAGCCAATGAGTAAAATCTACTTTCAAATAGCACATGGGCAAGCTCCGTTCCACTTATAAAAAAAACGTTGTTTTCAAGAAAAGGATCCAAACACTCTTATGACCAGAGGAAAATTGAATGGTGAACTAGGTGAATTTGACTCGTGTTGGGTAATTTGATTTCGTCGGGTAACAAAGATGATGAAATCACATGTTGAAAAATGGTGCAAATCTTTTCTTATTTCCTTGCTTTGAATTGGTACAAATTCACCTAATTCACCATTCAATTTTACCTTCACTCACAACACCTAATGCTATTGACCATGGAGAGATTGATTCCCCCAATCAATTGTGGACTAAGGAGAATACAATAGAGAATGTGTTTTTCTCATATTTAAATAATTAACTTTTTGAATTTTTTTAACATATATTTTTTATTTTTTTGATATTTCTTGCTTAAAATCTTTTATTATAATGTCATTATTAGTTATCGACATAAGACATTATAAAGTAAAAAAATTTAAAAAACGAAAATAGCATTTCAATCACTAATTAATGGTGTTATAAAAGAGAATTTAAAGTAAAAAAAATTAAAAAGTAAAAGATTTTAATCAAATCAAGAAATAGTAAATATCTCAATCAAAAAAATTTAAAAGTAAAACTTTTTAGAGAAGTGATATGTATATTTACATTTGATTAGTTATATTAGCAAAGATACCAAAACTTAGGTTTCAACATAATTGTGACAAGATCCTTCTAAAACAAGAACGAGTACAAAAGATCCTTCATATCCATTTTTTTTAATAGAAAAGGAAAGGATTCAAATTACCTTGAACAATATTATTAACTGTTTAAAACATTGGATACGACCACCTCCAATTGGAAAGTATCCACACAAAGCCAAAAGTACCAAAGAAACAAGTTGCCAATCAGTCATTTTCAAAGGATTACTCCGACCGAAGACTGGAAAGTCTGGAACATACATCTGTTTGGTTCATGTGCTTGGATTTCTGGTACTAGAACTTGGAATGTTATGCGACACTAGCTTTATGGGCCCATCAAAAACTCCAAGTGGGCCCACTTTGGCCCACCACACTTCATCAGCCCTGCTTCTACTCGAGCCAATTCAATGGCTAAATTCAAATTTGTTTTGGAGCGCCCTCACTCCTATTGATGAAATTTTTAAGGACTAAGAGCCCTTGATATGTCCTTTCCGTTCTACATGAAAGTAAGAACATGCCTTCCTCGCCCCTATTACTGAAGTTTTTTTAGGACTAAGAGCCTTTAATATTTCCTTTGTACTGAAAAAAAAATCATAAAAATAACTAATAATGTTTATTTTGTAGATATATTTTAAGAAGAAAGATAGCCACGAAGAAGAAAGAAGAAGAAGTAGAAAAGAAAAAAAAATCACATTTGAATAAATAAAAATATTTTCAAATAAATTTATTTTTTATTTTATCTATTTCTCTCTTCTATAAAGTAAATACTCTTAAATAGTAAGGTAAAATTCATAGTAAAAGTATGCCTTCTACCTCGTTTTGAATGAAAAAAAGAAAACCATTTTGAATAACTTGCAATCCCATATGGGAGGGTTTTAGTTGACTGATTGAGAAAATCAAAAAATATAATGAAACTTTTTGAAAAGAAACGTGTTTGATAAACTTGTAGTCACCACCATAACTTTTTATAGGACAAAACTTATCTTGTAATCAAGTGGGGAGAGAGATGTTTTCCACCATAATTTTTGTCATAAACAGGAACACTTTTACATGCATTTAGTAGTACATGTAGGTAAATGCTTTACAAAAATATGTTTGTTCAAGTAGCTTAGCACATCTTTGAAGTAAAAATATTTTTATTCTAATTTTATGTTGAATAAAAATTTCCGGTCAGTTTTTGTTTAGGAAAATTAAATTTATTTCTTTGATCAAAAGTAACTTATTGGTGTTTAGAATGGAGATATTTATATATAAAAAAAATTATTTCTTATAATTTAGTTAGTAATCAATGGACAAAAATATAATTAAAAAGGAGTTTTTTTTAATACAGAATTTAAGGAAGAAGTTCTTATTTTTTGGTCGAGCTTTTCTATTTTTTTTCCCCCGTAAGAATCCCAAAATTTTATCTTTCTGAACAGGACTTAAAATGTAAAAACACCCTTACCAATCTGAAAACAAAAATTTCCCATTCTAGGAAATTTACCAGACGCAACATTCACTCATGCTGACTCTCTCTTACCTCTGCCTTCTCTCTTCAGTCTAGGTCAGCTTATTTGCGCTCTCTCTCTCTCTCTCTCTCTCTCTCTCCACAAAAGAAATTTCCACCTTTCTCCTTCAAAACAAACCCAAACCCAAAATCCCATTGCAAAGGAAGGTCACAAAACGCTTGGCAAAACGACGCCGTCCACTGTTTCTGTTCATCTCCAAATAGACCACATGATATTATTCCTTCACTCTCTATCCCTTCTATCTCCTTCTCCTCCTCCACTCTTTCCATCTCTCAAGAATCATACCCGTTGACTTTTTAGCGTCAAAGTTTTTATTTTTATTAGAAAAAGAGTATTACTTTTCTTTCTTTTTTTTTTTTTTTGAGGAAAAAAATGGAGCAAGCAGTTCTTGATGATATAATCAAGCGGTTATTAGAGGTTAGAGGCAAACCCGGGAAACAAGTCCAGTTATCAGAGTCTGAGATCCGACAACTTTGTGTGGTCTCTAGAGAGGTTTTTTGCAACAGCCTAATTTGTTGGAGCTGGAAGCACCCATCAAGATTTGTGGTATTTTTTCTCTTTAGATTTACTTTATTTTGTGTTTTTTAGTATATTTAGAATGTCCCATGTTTTTATTTTAGCAAACCCGCGTGAATTTTTGTGGTCTTTCATACTTACTTTAGCTTTTTTTTTTAAGACTCGGAGCTTTTTTCTTTTCTTTTTGAATTCTTGCTTGGTGTTCAGTTTGCTTCCATATTTTTATGAAGTAAAGATTATGTCTTTGATGACCCTAGTAAGATTTGGGGAGTCTTAGATGAACTCCATTTTGTTGGTTTTTGAGGATTGTTTTGCGTGCTGGGGGTCATTTTATTGTTTATTTTGGAGTGTTTTTAGGGACTTATGTTTTGTTTAGATGAAAGGTTTAAAATTTACATGGATTATGTTAACCCCATTCGGTGCTTGCTATTTTGTGGGTTTGGATTGGTTGCAGTGCTCCATTTAAGTGCTTTTTGGTGATTCGTGGTTGTCTTTTGATGAACCCTTGGAGAGTTGGTTTGGGTTTGTGTACCTGAAATCAACGGTTGTGACTTATTTGTGATTTAGGGGTTTGTTGCTTCTATTCGCTGAACAACTGAATCATGTCTGTATTTTGGTGCATCTATCAATTTATGATGTTAATGTCATCCTGTTTTCAGGTTTGTGTTTTTAGGTATGGTTGTGTGTGCTTGCTTGGTAATTGTGTTTAATATTTGAATGATCCATGTCTATAGTTGGAGGAACCCATCAAGATTTATGGTATTTTATGTTAGCTTCTCTTGGTATTCGCTGTTATTTGATCCCTTTATAATTTGGGCATCAATTTATTGTGATGTTAGGTTACTTTATCTTCTCATGCTTGTATGATTTTTGGAGAAGTAATCTTGCCAGTTGCACTTGATACTTGGGAATAACTTGTGAACCTACCCAGCTTTATGATCGTTTAGTCTGTGAGTTAATTTTATGCAGTCAAGTTTGTGGCTTGCAACCCATCATTGTTTTTTTTTTGTTTTGGTGTTTTAAGTGAGCCCAACTTGAGGCTTTGTGTTTTGGATTTTACTTCCTTTTGGGCACATTTGTTTTGTTTGATTTTGATTGATAGAAGAATCTTACTGACTTTTGTGTGCTTTGTATTTACTTATGATGCTTTTTGGCATGCTTTGTCAAGATTGTGAACTGAATTTTCCAATTCATGAACTTATTAAGACTCAAGCGGGCCATAGTGAATCTTTCAATACATTTTAATTACTTTTTTCATCTGCAAGCATTTCGTTTGTTTATAAAAAACTTGACTTTTCAATTTTCTGTATGTAAATTGCAAAGGGATTTAATAGTACCAAGGTACATAATGGGTTTGCATTTTTTTTATGTTTTTGCTCTTCGAGTTGAATGTTCAATATTAAATTTTGATTTGGTAGGAAACTCATCAACTGCCTGCATTGAAGTTTAATTGTTTTAATGAATTCGATCTATGGTTGTGGTGTTGATATTGGACATGTTTGGTTGAATTTAAAATGCAACCTCTAATCTTTGCATAAGATCCAGAACTTCCAAGAGTTCATACATGTGCAATTGAGTTATCTAATTCATCACGATTAGGAGTTCTCAATATGTTTAGAGAGTAATTCAACTGAATCAAGAACTACAGACAAAATTCATATTATAGTTGATTAAGGTTCAGTGGCCTTATACCAAAAGAAAAAAAAAGGTTACTTGAAGAACCTGATCTTATAAATGAGGGCCTGCAGTAAGATTCCTTTTCAATGAAGTATGCATAACCTTGTCACAATAACAAAATATTGGGGCGTGCTAATTATTGACCATCATAACTAAATTATGCATAACGTTTGCTACATATGCCTAGATAGCAAAATCACATTCTGCCATGCAGGAATGTTTATGAAAATTGTGTTGCAGACATTGCAAATATCTGATTGGTTGGGTGCACTAAGTGCTCTTTTCATTGATTGGTGGCAACAATTGCTTGTTTGTGTTCTCCTGTTGTACAGTTTCTGAAGATCCTTCATGTGGATATTCATTGTGTGACCAGAATATGTTCATTGATCTAATGAATTTTATTTGAATTCCGGATTACTGCTTTTTTTTAGTTATTTCTACTTGTTGCTGATCTATATGCTGTTTTGAATCTCTCTCTTCTGTTCTGTTGAGGGTTCTTGTATCTTTTTAGATTTTTTTCTTTTTTTATGTCATGCATACTGGGAAAAGATTGCTATGGAGTTGTTTTGTATACCTTACCTGTTTGTTTCGTCCATGAACTTGTGCTTCATTATATGCATGGTAGTGTTCCTATCATTACTGTGTGGCAGAACTTGCTCAGGATCTAGATTGCAGGCAAGTACATTATACTTGGTAGTTATGCCTGATGCCCTAAAACACCTGCACCATCACTAGTATGGCCATTTAATGCTAATCAGCATTTACTATTCTATCCTTTTGTTATTTTTATTCTATGACTGATTGAATGTCTTTGAGTTTTATAGTTCTTAGATGTCAAAGGAAGGCCACTGTCTGCATTTCATTTTTAGAAGTCTAATGCTCTTGCTAATATTTGTTCGTAAGCATTATTCATGTTATTATCAAAGTAAATCGTTTAATTCTGCTGAAATGTGAATCATTTACTTTTTATTAGAATTTTTGTTATTTGACCTCAAAATTGCAAATACAAATCACCCAAGGAGATTGGAAACTGCTTGTGTTCTGATCTTAATGTACTTACATGTATTTTAATTTTATTTAAAAATCTGTAAACAATTCACAGAAGTTCCTAATTATTTTGGTAGCACCTTATTTTATTTTCCATAATTTTTAGTTCTGATCTGAATAAATTTGAATGATACTTTTATTGACCCCTTGAATTATGTACTCTTCTCAAATGCTGGGTTTTAAATGTGTTAAACTAACCATCACACTCTCCTTCTATACGAGCATGTTGGATATTCAGTGACATTTGCTCAGGAAACGAGTCCTTATTCTCTGTTATGTAATATTTTTTCAGCTAAAAAAGGTCAATCCTCTCCTGAACTTTAGTCTGTTTGAAAATCAATCCTTGAACTTGTAATTTGTGTTTTGACCTCCCTAGACTTTATTATTATTATTTTTTAGATTTAGTTGATCATTTAATTTTCTATCATTTATCCCAAAAAATAACAATTACATAAATAGTCCCATGATGGAAATCATTTAGAAGATTCATCTGGAGCTCTCCAAAAAATTTGGGATGATTTTTGGGATAATTTTTGGGTTATTTTCTATTTTTCTTGATTTTTTACATTTTCAATGTTTAAACAATAAAAAAATATAATTTCTGACCTTGAAAAATTCTGGAATTTCTAGAAAATGGATCAGATTTTTCTCAATATGTATGCAAAAATTCAGATTTAAATACAAAGAATTGTATTTTTTAGATGGAAGGAGTGATAGCTGAAAATCATAGGATGGACTAAATATAAAAAAAAACAATAAGGTTCTTGGGAATCAAAACGCAAATTAAAATTTCAGGGACTAATTTTAAATGAATTAAAGTTCAGTAGAGATTTGGCATTTTTAGCCATATTTTTTCACCATACATCCTAGTTTCTTTGTCGAAGTCTCTTTTGAAAGACAAATATTTCATGTAGAGAAAAGCAGTATGGTGTATTCCATGTATGAACCGTGAATATGCAGCAATCCACTGGAAAATTTCCTGAAAATGCTGTGCATGTGATTTCTGTGATGCCTTAATTATATCTTTGATCATCTGGGCCTTGGCTATACAACGTAGTAGCTATTCATCTTTTGAAGTTTCATTTACCCATGAACGCAAAACTTGTTGGTTGGAAGTTCTAATTATTAGCACTTCTTTGTGGGGACAGCACACATATTGATTCAAGTTCATTAATTGAATTGCTTAGAATTGGGTTTAAAACCATTTTGGACTTTGGGTTGGCCTTTTACTTCTGTGGATGGGATTGCATTTAGGTTGCATTTGGTGCAAGGCTAAATGTTGAAGGGGAAATTTTACACGAGTAATTGTTAAAGAGTGTTATAGTTTTTTTTTTTTTTTAAGGATGTTTTGTGTGTGTTAATAATTTTTTACTGGAAAGAAAGAAATAATATTCTTAGGAGGTTGAATTTTACCCTTCATCCACTGGAGAATAAAATTTACCCCTCCCCACCCTTAAAAAAAAAGAAAGAAACACACACAAATTCGGTGGTTAATATCCCCCCTTGATAATTCTCCTCACCAAAAGTGAATCAAACTTGATTATTATGACCGTAATTTTAACCTCATTACTCTTGTACTACACGTCTCATTCTTGTATGTTTTATGTGCTTGATGCTTAATCAAATATCCATTTATTCTTTGGTGTTGGATTTTTGCATATTGTATTCTTGTGTGGTTTTGAAGTCATTGATTTGAAATGTCGATGGACTTGATGTGGTCAGCTGATTAGTTGAAAACAATCAGGATACTTAATATCAACTTAAGAGGAATGAGCATCTTAATGTATTACTGAAAATTTCCTGCTTTCTTGTGAAGGAATATTCAATTTGTGATGGAATCTGCATGTGGCATGCAGGTGATATCCATGGTCAATATTCTGATCTTCTAAGGCTATTTGAATATGGTGGTTTCCCTCCACATGCAAACTACTTATTTTTGGGGGATTATGTGGATCGAGGCAAGCAAAGCTTGGAGACAATATGTCTTCTCCTTGCTTATAAGATAAAATATCCAGAAAACTTTTTCCTCTTGAGGGGGAACCATGAATGTGCTTCGATAAACCGCATATATGGTTTTTATGATGAGTGTAAGAGAAGGTTTAATGTTAGGCTATGGAAGACATTCACAGATTGTTTTAATTGCCTACCAGTGGCTGCACTAATTGATGAGAAGATTCTCTGCATGCATGGGGGTTTGTCTCCGGACCTAAATCATTTGGACCAGATTCGAAACTTACAACGCCCTACTGATGTACCAGACACAGGTTTGCTCTGTGATCTTCTCTGGTCAGATCCCAGTAAAGATGTTCAAGGTTGGGGGATGAATGACAGGGGAGTTTCATATACATTTGGTCCTGACAAGGTGACAGAGTTTCTTCAGAAGCAGGATTTGGATCTTATTTGCCGTGCCCACCAGGTTTGACAAGTCACAGCAATTCACTTTCTCTTAGGCAGGCCTCTAGTTGAATATTCCTTCCACTATTTGCTTGTAAGGCTGTCATGAATAAACCATCTGCACCCATCTTTGTTGAATTGTTTAGTTTTCTTTTTGGAACTGACTTATTTTTGCAGTGGCTTTTGAGCCAATTGGCCCGAGAAAATAGCCTCTAACATTTTCCCTATAAATTTGCTACCCCACTTTTTTATTGGCTCTGGTTGTCCTTTCTATGCAGACCTTTGAGTTATTATGGAGGATTCATTCTTTTCCAAATGTATGTTGCAGGTCGTGGAGGATGGATATGAGTTCTTCGCCAACCGACAACTTGTAACTATATTTTCAGCACCTAATTACTGTGGGGAGTTTGATAACGCTGGTGCTATGATGAGTGTGGATGAGACTTTAATGTGCTCTTTCCAAATATTAAAGCCTGCTGATAAGAAATCAAAGTTTAAGCCTGGAAACACTTCAACTGGAGTTGGTGTTTTTGGGAGCACGACTACAGCTAAGCCTGGAAACCCTCCACCAGGAGTCAAGGTACATGTATGACTTATAAAGACATGAAATGCTGTTTTTCTGTTGGAGTTTTTAGATAACTAGAGTACCCAATGTTAGTTGTATAATGATGTACCCATTTAAGTTTGTAGTCAATGTATTTGTGTAAATATTTTGGTCAAGATTCTCAATAGAGTCAAGTGGAGAAGTTATTAACGTTTGTCCTTATTTCTGTCTTTCATAGTTATCCTTTTGAAAGTGATTTGAGAGCATACCTCTACAGTTTTCATCTGGTACAACTTTTAGTAGGGGCAAACTTTTGGTTTCTTCTATTTAAAACCGCTTTTCAGCCATTTTCCCATGTATCAAAAGATTGAAAAGAAACCTGAGAAATTGTCCATGCTTGCTTGTGGTACTGGTTAAGGAAAATAGATTTTGGGTAGTTTCAGGGAAATTCATTCTTTAGTCATGGACAGAATTTTCTGCAATTTAAGAAGAAAATTATGCTGTAAGTAGGAAAATATGACCGTTCAGTTCTCATGAAGTTTTGTATTATCCAGTAAGAGAGTGTCAGAAGTGTTTGAATTATTCAGCTTGCATGTGTTGAGTGTGCCATGTTGAAAAGTTTGATGATATTAAATATAGCATGTTCACTGATTTACATGTATTTTATCTTTGTTTGCGTGTTATATGGTATTTTAATTTATACATATAATTGCTAACTGTCCAATCTGTTTTGCTTATGGCTTTGCAGTCCTTCCTTGGCGCTAAAGTATGACAATTGAATTTCCACTTAGAGATCAAAATTAGTTGGATCATGAACATGCTGAGATTGTTGTGACAGGAATTCAAGGTCCATTTAATTTCATCATATATGCTGAAATTGTATAAATTGGAAGGGGGGAATTAGAAACTGATGCAACAGATTGTTTTCCTCTATAAAGTTGGGTTTGAAGATAGAAGGCTGAGGTTTCCTTCTCTTCTTGATTGTACACTAATAGCTGCTAGAATTGCTGCTATGAATTATTTTCATGTTGCTCTTATTGTTCTGCACATCTGTGAGACCACGAACCATGTCAAAACAATATACTTCATGATTCAGGGGAAGTGACGGGGAATTGGTTCAACTTTTTCATTTTTTATTCTCAAGACAACCATTGAATTCGAAGAAACTGCAGAATACACGGAAATGGACTGATCTAATATTCTGTGAAGAGATGCTTCCCACTTTCTATGTTCTGTCATTGTGTGTGCATCTTCTTAAGTTGTGAGGTTCCTACAAGATCAGATAGTTTCTTATTACCACTAAGTGAAGACTGCAAACTTTTTGCATATGGCCATGATTCTAATCCCATGGGGCTCGTCATGGGGGTTGGTATGTGCACCTTGCATTGCATGCTTGGGATGATGTAACCTGACTATAAAAGCGTTCAAATCCCCAATCGTGGTGTTACATATAGCTGATGCACGAGGATGCTGATGCATGACGACTCCGAGTTTCATTACCAATTTTGAATGCTTCTTGTTCTCTGTGATTGCTTTAGTGTTGATGATCCATGCTTCTTCCATGAAAGAAAATGTCTGATTTTTGTATATGGGTTCTTTCTGTGAGAGTTCATTCCAGGATCTAATTATCTATACGCTTTTAGCCTCTCTGGCATGTGGTGGCCAAAAACTAGCACCACTTTTAAATTACGAGAGGGGAAGCAATGGTATTAAAATTAAGAATTATTACAATCGAAATTCTTTTGCTTTTTGGTCTTTGAACAAATTTCTCGGGTTTCAATTGGGAAGAAACCTGAGAATGGAGAAAGGTGTTGCTTGCGAGGAATCTTTCAACACGAGAGTAGATTATCTGAAAGAGAATACAGCATAAAATGGAGCTGATGATAGATTTTCTATTAAGATCCTTGGGAAAATCTGAGTAAGGGGAGAAGAGGAGTGGCATAATAATTTGGGTCGCCTCCATTTTCTTAAACACAGTTCCATCTCTTGGTTAACAGTCCTTAACAAATTGTCAACAAAGTCTTAGACAATTGGAGCATGGCAGAAAATCTTCGGAAGTGTGTGATATCAAGAAGCATTGATGACTGGAATATTGAGTTTTGTTGGGCTAAAAGAAACGTGCAGAAGAAGTGTTTCATGTCTACTCTTCAGCCTACATATGGCCTGTGTAAAGAAATAAACTCCAGAACTCATGAAGGCAAAGAAGCAGCTTCAGAAGATCTTGTTGAGTGGATGATTATTTGCAGTATAAAATGCAGACTGCACAAAGGCCGAACTTTGCAGGAAGCTTTAGTTAATGCCAAGCACACCCTAGTTTGTTTATAACTGGGCTTTTAGCTAGTTGTTCTGTTGGGCTCAACCCTCTTAGTCTCTTTTGATTAATGAAAATTCGTTCATTTATAATGATAATAATAATAAAATATCTTAGTTCTGGGAAGATTGCTTGCCGAGGGGGATTAAAAGGGCCAACTGGTAAAAGCACCAAAGCCAGCAATTTGCCGGAGATAAGTTCTCCAAAAATTGCAAGCAAAGAATCTTCCTAGGATTGGAAGCTCTTGTTGGTGGTGAGAGAAGGCTTTCTGGCTATCAAGCTGTGTATAACTGGCAGTTGTCTAGTAAACAAAAGAGGGATGAAAGGAAGGTTCTTTAAGGGAGTCTTGTTTTAGGGCAAAGCCATCATCATGTAAGCAAACCAAGTGAGCATACAAATCCAAGTCAAATTGGATGTCTTCTAATTTAACGTTATTTTCACATGGTTTTGCTTTTTGGTGGCCGCAGGGTGCTCTTTTAGTGGGCCCAGATTCAAATTTCCAAAATTGGATTTTATACTATGTTTTATATTGAATTCCTCCCTCCCAAAAATAAAGAAAATAAAATAAAAAGGAAAGAGAGGAGCAATAATTCATGGCGGCACCCATTTGAATTTGATTGCAGAGCTGGCTGGGCGGCTAAGATTGACTTTTAACTCATCTCATTTTTTTCTGACTGGAATTAATTTTATAGAATTTCAAATGTTTAATTAATTGATGTGATATTATTAAAAAAATAATGGTACCTGTTCACACTTCACAGAATTAATTCTTTTTATTATTCATAATTTTAATGGTTGATTTTCGAGAACAACTCTTAAAATGAGGGCTTCTAGATTTATGTATATAAAGATTTACCAAATTAGGAAACGTGGAATTTTAATTAATTATTTTTTTCTGTTCTAAAAAGATTGTTTCTTTTTTATTCAATATCTGCCTTAAAATACTTATTTAGTTGAAAATTTTAACACTATAATTTCTTAAAATGCCTCTATAATGTATAGATTTTTTTAAGTAAAAAAGAATATTTTAATAAAATATAGATAAAAAATATTAAATTTATTAAACCGTGTAAAAAGTCCAAATACATTATTACTCAGAGACATAAAGAGAGAGTGGGGCAATAATAACGTGAGAGACCATTTTCATCACGACTTTCAAGTATTTATTTTATGCTGCCTTTAATTGAGAAAAGAAAAAAGTTTTGTCGCTGACTTGGGGTTTGACTCGTCTTTTATCAAATATAAAGTAATCCTCGATAAGTAAAAAGACGTATAAACCAGTCCCAATTATTATTAAAAATTATAGGAACAGAGAGAAAGAGAAATTGAAGAGGAACACCGACAGACAGCACACTACGAAAGTCAAAGGAAACCTTAATTCACTCCATCAAACTGCCATTTGTGTTCCAATCCAAATCAAACTGAACCGTACAACAAGGGAAAGGGAGCCAAAAGATCTTAACTTTATCAATTGTGTGATGGACATTACGGAACAGGACAGGACCACAAGGTCTTTGTCGCTTTTATTGATATGCTATTCCATGCATCTGCTTTCCTTGTTAATAATCTTCGCAGAAATGGCAGAGTGAATCATGTCCGAGGCATTCATAACGTGCAACTGTGCATCTATCACCTGAGCTGCATATTTATATATTCAATATGAAATTCCCCCACAACTTATGAATTTAAATGTCTAGCAGATGGACATGATACCTAAATTGAAAGCTCAAGTCTCAAGTCTTAATCGAGTAGGTCTCTCCTAAACCATGTATTTATGTTTATGAATCATATGTAATTTAGATTAAAATCCTAAACACAACTTAGAATGAAAAAAAACGAAAAAAAAAAAAAACTAAATTATATAAACTAAGTAAGAGAGAGAGAGAGAGAATCAATTCAACAATGCATGTCATGTGAATCATTACATAAATTATATATAAAAAATAAACTAAGAATAAATAAAGTTTTATTGCCAGATCACCAAAATTCAGTGACGATATAATTGTATAAGCAAATCAGAATTTTGAATTAATTTTTAATAAAACTTGATAACAAAATTAACTTTTACTATATGATTCCTTGTTTTTCTTCCTAGGATTTTGATCTATGGAATTTTTATATTGAATCATATCGTCAAAAAAAATTCCTAAAAAAATGGAAATGTGATGTTTCTGGAAAAATTGGGAGTGTTGAAATAAACCAATATTGCTTGATTTTTTACACTTTCCTGACTTATTTCCCCTTTAATTAGTTCTAAAGTAACCTTTACGTTAAATATCAGTCAAACTTCATAATTTTTGTTTTCTTTCTACGCATATCATTGAACGGTTTTTTTTTTTTTGGCCACGGCATGAGATGCATCCTTTGCATTAGGGTGTCCAAACTAACTTTCTAACTTTTTTTTTTTTTTAAGGGTAACTTTCCAACATATTTCGCTGGAATAGATAATTCCATGTATGCTATTGAAAATTGGCGATGCCACATTTTCCTTGTTATTACTTTCGAAAGACATTGAAATAACTTTCTTTGTGTTGAAGCTTGACTTCAATGACGCTTCTTGCTAGAACACCAATATTACGGCAAATTTCATGTGGCCTCGTGAAGCAATAGGTCAAAGATCGAATGGAATGGCGTGATAATTAAGTGCATATGCCAATCTTTTCGCCACACAAAAAATCAAAAGATGCATAGTAGATTCTTAGCGTATTCAGAAATCTGTCTTGACTAATACAGTACTTAAATCAATACCTGCCATTAAAATGCTCCACTCTTGTGGTTTACTTGTCAGATTCCCTGTTAAACGCAGTCTCGAATTATTAACAACAATATATTACTCTTAACTCTACACTTCCATTTGATTCTAGAATGGGTTTGATTTAAGAAAATATGTGTATAGTTTATAAGTCTTTCGTGCCACAATAATGGCATATATATATACCAACGACCAAGGACTCCAAAAACAGTTCGTCATGATCAATCTTGACAATATTGCAAGTACCCATGTGATGGATAATTTTATTTTAGGAAATTAAAAGAAGCTTTTGAGGAGTATTCTGGCTTTTTCGCCTTATCATTTAGTAGGAATGATAATTTAATAACCTTAATTAAATGGTTGGATGTTCTTTTTTATAAATATATAATTACTATTTCGTATCTTTTGTTTATGCATATATAATTTAAATGTTTAATTTCGATGAAGTGCTTTGATTTTTTAGCCTTATTACTTATTTAGAAATGAAAATTTATTTCTTAAAAAAACAATTAAGAATTTAAATTCAATATGCATCAAGAAAATAAAATATATTATATATGTTTTAAAAAATTTATTAGTTTTTTATTTTTCTTTTTTACTTTCAGTCGATAAAAGAATTATAAATTGATACCAAGTTGTAAAAAATAGAATAAAATTATATAAAATTTGGGTTAAGCATTTTTCATGGGTATAAGATTTATTATAATCACAATGATTACAGCAACATATAAACAAGACATTAAAATAATATAATTAAATTATCAAACAATAGATTACGATCGAATAATTGATCCCTCTTTTCTTTTTTTAGGTATAAAATGAGAGAATTCAGATTGGACACTCCAACTCTTTGTTCCTCGTACTCTAGTATGTGTTAATTTTTTAAATTTGAAAAAAATTATAGAGGATCGAATATGAAGATGATCAGTAGGATTGATAGGTAGATAATGATATACTATCCTCCATGACCGATATAGCAACAAGATAACAATGGCCAGTTGGCAATAAGTTTATGGGTTCACGCAAACTGAAATGCCGAGTCGAGAAATTAGTATTGAAAGAGACATTGGCAAAGCTCCTTGGCTCCCAATGTTTTTGAGTGAAAATGATGGCTGAGAAATTGGGCCCATGAAGACAGAATTGCGGGGGAGAAAGAAAACTAGAAGAAACTAACTTCTGATAACGTGGGTAGGTCCTATCGAACTTCCAACTTCTACTAGTTGGCACATGACTAGTAGGTGAATGGTTGATAATTTTATAGTTTAGGTTCAGTACTTCACCGCTTTTTGAGGATGAAACTAATGTAATCACTTTGATATAATATAATTTATGATTTTGGTTATCAAGAAAAATGTTTTAAGGAATTGAAAAGGAAAGTAATCTTAGAATTGAATGCCAAACAAAGTTTAAGTCTCATTTCAGAAATTTACAACCATGTTATGGGTTTAGCGTGCGTCGAATTGAAGGGCTGTGCTTTTTTGGTTAGGTCAAATTGACCAAATTTCTAGAAGGTGCAGATAACTTATCAATTGGACAGTAGATGTGTTATCATACCGAACGCTCTAAAAGAGGACTAAAGACGCTTGAATCCCAAGTGTTTGTTTTGCAGAAAAAAAAGTGGTCAAAAAAGACACCTCATCTCTCTCTCTCTCTCTCCAGTCCTGTCTGTACTAGTTTTGTCCTATGCCCATTCTTAAAGATTCACAAACTAAGAACTATGATAAGCTATCGAAGAAGCTTTCACACCTGATCGATCTCCAACCCACACAGCAAGATTCATCACTTCCTCTTCCTGCTTTCTGCTCCTCAGCCCATCTGGTAAAAAGCCTATCTCTAGTATACTATTATTTTTATTTTCTGGAATATTTTGGATTTCTGCTGCTTTGGCAGGCCCCATCAAATATTAAATTAATTTATTACAGGCTACAATAATGCAATATTTAATTACCTACAGTATGGATAGGGATAGTTTTGTCCTATGGAGAGCAGATAGAGGATAATGCTTTTCTTGTTCTCAATTATGGATGATCAATCCATTTAATATTGGCCATCTGGTTAGCCATCTGCATACTCATCCGGCGTCAACATTTTAGTGTGGACAAACACCCATTTCCATTTCATGAGTAGATTGACGCTTTAATACAAAAAAAAAAAAAAAAAAAAAATAGTTGTTATCCATCACAAATCACAGAAGGGAAAGCTATCACCAAGCAATTAATGTAACTGGTGGAGGATAGCAAAGTAACTAACAATATGTATAATATTGACTAAGCTCGATAAGGAGATTTTCATTCTGTTCTTCTCAATTATAAGAGAACCAAGCATGCCTTTGTAAGGAAAACTATATTAATTATACGCCGCCAAGATTGATGAAGTATTTTTCAATTATCCAACAATGAAATGTGGGGGACCAATTTAATTTGAAGTTGATGATACCCAATTTTTATGTAGAACTAACTCATTGTCGATTTTCAATGCTCAAGTTAATTTTAACATTTATAGGTGAATTTGATATTTCTTGTTCTCTTAATTTCGTGTTTCTTCCTGCAAAGTCTACCCCACTGCGGCACTGCACTGCCCCTAAAGGCTAGGCTTTTACTTCATATGTGCTCTAGTTCTAGAAGCTTTGACAATGGCACAACTCAAAATCCCATCCTTCAAGCAAAGAAATAGGCAGCAAGAGAAATCCACAGTTCTTTTTTATTTTTTTTGGGAGCAACCTAGAGAATTCCACAATGGAGCCAAGAAACGGCATAATCTAAGCATATGCTATATGCGAAGGTCTTCTTCCACAAATATGAAAGCAGCCTGTGACTGTGAGTACCAAATCTTTTGACTTACAACAAGACGGACACCCAGCTGGCTGGCATAAACTTAGGAGCTAAGTCTACACTCTCGATTCTATACAATCACATTGTCCGACATGAAGATGCATTGATAATTTTACCAAGTAATGGCATATACCCAAAGCATATCCTTTGAAGTATGCCTCCATCAAAAACATGAATCAGCTTCCATAAAATATCAAACAAAAGATGCACAGTCAGATTCCAAAACATTTAAAACATTACCAGAACACGACTCATCCACAACAAAACTGAGTAAAAAGTGAAGTAGGCAGGCATCATCATATTAAAAGCAGTAATAGTACAAACTTTCTTCAGCTTTCCCACTTCTTTGAATTCTTTAAAAAACAAAAAACACAAAGGCGGGGAAAGACGGGATTCTCAACTTTTTTTAAAAAAAAACTATCTACAGCCTCTCTAGATTCTCTCTTCAAACCATGAACAAAGCCTTAAAAAACAAAAAAAAAAAAAAAAAAGACAGAAGGCCACAGTCCTGTGCAGCACAGCCTCATGAGTCATGTCATGTGACTCTTCTTTTGTCCATTTCTCTCATCCTCTCTCCTCCATCTCTTGCTTGGAAAAACTGAAATTCTGGAAGCACCCGCCATAGAGTTTGGTGCTGCAGAGCAAAGTTGGAATCATTTGGGCTTGATAGGTAGTCGTATGTACACAGTACACAGTGATAAGCTATTGGCAGTCCTTGCTTTGAGTTGTATTTTCATGGATTTGTAAGGGCAGATTAGTCCATTCATACTGTCTCTCCTCCTCTCAAGATCCATGGGTGCCCTGCATTTCACGTAGAACAAAACGGAGTGAGACTAATGATTCACATGCATCAAAACCGAGATTCAGAGTAAGAAAAGGCTAAAATTTCTGTTTGGTTCATGAGAAAATTGTTGAAAAACGAAACCCATATCAGCATTTCAACTGATAAATTCTGCGATCTGAAGAAAACCCATCTCAAATTGTAAGAGAACATCTCCAAAAATTGAACAACACTGAGTAAGAGTAATTATTAATACACATTAAAACAGAGGATCATGCTTAAAAAAGGGTCTAAAACCCTGTTTGGTCAACAAAAAAAAATTATGAAAAATAAAGAAAACCCATTTCAGTACGTTAACTCATAAACTCTTAAATCAAAAGAGACCCCACTTCAAATGCTTAAAAAAAAAAAAAAACTTGAGAATTGAAGAACTTACTCAGAGCTTGCTCAGCTGAAAATCTCTTCGAAACGTCTCTACAAATCATCTTCCTCAATAGATCTTTTGCTTCCGGAGAAACATTTCTAAAAATCTTAGGAGGAAACCTCAAATTCCCTCTAACAACAGCCTCAAAAATCTCCTCAACTGTCTCTCCGTAAAACGGCGGAAATCCAGCCAACATAACATACAAAACGACACCAGCACTCCACACATCAACTTTCTCATTATAATCCCTCCCCATCACCACCTCACGCGCCACATAGTACGGTGTACCCACCACCCCACTGACCGTCCCCTCCTCCCCAATCCAATCAGCCGACCCAAAATCCGCCAATTTGACCTGGTTCATCTCATCAAACAATATGTTATCCGGCTTTATATCTCTATGCACAATACTACATATATGGCAATGCGCTATTGCTGTCAATAATTGTTTCATTATCGACGCAGATTTGGCTTCGCTTAATCCGCCATTACTCGTTTTCAAAAGATCATAAAGAGTATTCTGCTTGCAAAGCTCTAATACCATGTGAAGAGAATCTTCAGTATCGTAGACATCGAAGATTTGGACAATGTTTGGATGTGGAGACAAGAGTGACATGATCTTTGCTTCATTTTGAAGACACTCACGATCTGTTGCATCATTAAGGAGATTCTTGTCTATAGATTTGCAAGCAAAGAAATCGTTCTTGATGGGTGAAAAACAACGAGAGATTGTGCCAAATCTTCCTCGGCCGATCTCTTCACAGAGTTGATAGTTGTTCTTTAAGGTATCACACATTTCTCAGTTGGTTTTTCTGGTTTTCTGAATTTTACACTAACTTTGGTTACTGATCTATTCCTTTTTATAGAGAAGAGAGGGAATTGGGGGAATGGTTTGGGGAATATTCGTTTCTCAAGATTCGCCACGTCTTTCAAGCTAAATAGACACCTATAAAAGTTGGTTTATTTCGGTTTAATTGCTTTTGTTTCACAGTAACAAAATATTCTGGTATCAATTTTCAGCATAATTACACCGACTGAGATCTCTCATATTCAGTTAACATGATTTTATCATTTTAAAAAAAATTTAAATCTTAAGAAAATTTTTTTCTTTTTTTAAATTTGTAGCCAATATTTATTTAATTAAACACAAAAACTTAACTATTTTGAATTAATACTTACTTTTTATTTATTTAATATTATAAAAGATAGGATAAATTCTATACAAATTTACAAGATTAGTTAAGATTTTTAAAAAAATTCGAACTATGTTTAGAAAATACATATGAATAGTTGCATACAAACTTGTGATTTAATAAATTTGATTTACTATTTCTTTGAAATTCTAATAATCTAATTTTTAATGATTATTTGGGGAAAATTCGAATAATGTTTCGGTTGAGTGGTAATAAGGCCGTCGACTGATCTCCACATGTTGGATACACGCGGAAGACACACATGACTGAAAGGAAACAAAAAGGCGGTGTAGATCCAAAGAGTCCAATGAAAACAATTAACGTGCATGTAAAAAAGTACTTCAGAATGGATGCTTATGTGTAGAGGAAGTGTACTAAATGACAAAACTATGGCTTCCTTTTTAAAAAGTTGCAGGGTTTGTGTTTTGGAACGTAAGGGAAATACAATTTGGTTTTGTGGTTGTATAAGGACAAAAACAAAAAGGAAATTACGAGTTTTGGGGGAATTTTATTTTATTCTATAAATAACTAATAATAATAATAATACTTACTCTATGAAGAGAAAGAGAGAATGAGACAATAATAATACAAAAGGAAAAACATTGAGTCTAAATAAAAATATTTTTATTATTTTCAATGGATGCAGATTTTTTTTTTTTTATGGATCGAGTAACTATCATTAGTTAATTTCTCCAAGTTTTCCTTCTCATTTCCATCCTTCGATTAGGGATATGTTTAAAGTAAATTATAAATTGGTCCTTCTATTTTTTAAAAACAAATTAACTAATCCTCTTATTTCAAAAAGTAAATAGTTAATCCTTTAATTATGATAAATTTAATATTAATTTATTTCAAAAAAATATGATATTTTTTCATCAATTCTTTTATTTTTATTTTTTATTTTTCTCTTTCTTACTTCTTAAAATAAAAAATCAAAATAAATTTAAAAATAATTGAAAGGATTAAATTACAAAAATATATATATATATATATAGAGATTAATAATTATTTTTTAAACAAGAGAAACTAATTAATTTGTTTCTCGAAATTAAAGGAACCAATTTATAATTTATTCCATATATTTATTTGTTTTACTATTATTATTTTATTTATTTTGTGAAAAATATCTTTAGTACTAGTTGTCAATGCCCTACACATTGCATGGATCACATTACAAAATCTAACTTATAGAAAACAAAAAACCTAATTATGAATTTAAGAAATTCTCATAAGAGAAAAGAGATAATTACATTATAAGTATATCAACTTTTAATTTTTTCTTAATCGAATATATGAATTTTAATTTTTTTTCATTTGAGTATACAAACTTTTTTCTGAATCAAATATTGAATAAAATTTATATATAAAAAATTTGAAAGAGGGTACTTGATATTAAGAAAACATGAGCACTAAAGAGAGAATATATATATATATATAGAAAGAGGGTACTTGATATTAAGAAAACATGAGCACTAAAGAGAGAATATATATATATATAATTGACAATAATACTTATGCAATTAATTTAATTTTTAATCAAATACTAATAATAGTTAGTATTATCAATTTTTTTCTTTAAAAAAAAACTCCTCACAAATTATACATGGCAACACTAAGATAAATTTTTGGATTTCTAGAAAACCTTATGAATCCAATGTGACAGCATTATAATTAATATAAATACCTAGAACTCTATAAATAAATCCTTAAAATATGTATAAAAAAAAGTTTATGATTTAATATACATATGTCATAGGATTGCTTTCGTAGTTAAAGAAAATTGTTTCATTCACTACAACAAAAATTCCTTATAGAGGCGGAACGTTTGAGGCGGCAAAAAAAAACGCCTCAGAGCTTAATAATTTTATATTATATAAAACTTGTCCAACAATAAATAAGAGGTGATTGATAAAACCGCCTCTTTGGCCAGCCCACTTTTTTTTCTTTTCCTTTTCTTTTCCATTGGGATTTTGAAAAAAATAAAAGGAACAACCGCTTTTTATCTCGCCCATCCCTTCAACTTTCCAGATCTATGGTTTTTCTTCTTTCAATTCAATTGCCCTTCTTCAAAAAGTAAACCCACTTCATTACCCTTCTTCTCTTTTCATGGTATTTAAATTAATCAAAAACTCTCCTTTCATGATATGAAAAACGCCATTCTTAGTGTAATTTTTCTTCTTGCTTCTTATTATAGGGGAACTTGACAAGATCGAAGCCAAAGACAACCAGGGTCGAGAAAGAAAGGAAAGAGAAAGGGAAGAGATATCTCGACGGGATAAGGAAACAGTTGTGGATTCGGTATGAGAGGTCAGAAATCTCAATCTGGTCCTGGCATTTGAAAAGAGTTTCAGCGTGGACAAATGCCTCTTTACCGCCGTATCCCTAAATTTCTTGGAATTATTGGAGGTACTCTTTTTTTCTTTTTTTCTCATTAATTAATTGTGGGCTTGGAGAATCATCTTATTAATGAGTTTCTTTTTTTAACGTCTGATCCACTTTTTATCATTATCATTATTATTATGAGAAATTTTTCATTCATGTATGTTTCTATAATTGAATTTCAGTAGAATGACAGCTGAGAGAATCTCCCTAATGAATTGTATTTGTTTCCAAGCTCGGAGTACATCTTTTGACAAATTGTTTTCTCTTTAATCCGGATTTGCCATGGAACTCTGAGATAGTGCAAAAAGTTTCTTCCTTTCGTAATGGGTTTTGCCTTCTGTTAATTCTTTAATATTTCTTTTTTGAATTCTTAGTGACAGTTTTCTCTAGAAAGTGCATATGCACCAATGAATCTGTATAAAAAGATTAAGCCAGCATTTCATTTATTATCATTTAGTTTGTTGTTTTCTGTAAGATTGTTTTTACTTTTTTATTTTTCTGCTTCATTATACTTAGTTGCTAATGCCTGTGAAAATCAATATTTTTTTTAATCTCAATCAACAAGTCAGAGATGTGTTGCCGTAATAATTGAAAAATCCAAATCTTTGATACAATTATGATTTCAGCATTTATGGGACATACTAATGCTGAAATCACAATGACATTTTTATCAAAGTTTCTGAGTACTCTTGTACTGAAAGTGAATTTCAATGTAATTAAACACTATTTATAATAAACTTTGGATTAATCAAGTTATAATTAGTAGTAGATTATTGAAGATAATATTATATTTGAAAAGTTAATGGCGTGTGGTCCATGAAAACACGTTGTTGCTTATCTTTCATCACACAATAATGCTAGTAACTGCAAAGTGTCATCTTTCTTATGCTATGAAATTTATGGTATAATAATATTGACTTGTTTTAACAAGATTAATTATTACATATAAGATTCATGATAAATGATTCTTTATTATGATTGTATTAATGAACCAAGCCATCAGGATCTTAAGTTTTATTCAGGTTTGAATTTTAAAGTTGATGCAAAACCTTATAAACTGCACATCTTTGTTAATATCCATCGGTAGACATGGTAACGGTTCTCGAACCAAACCTTCGTGGATAATTACGGTTTTGGTTTGGAATCGTAAAATCGATGATTCCAAACCGTTTGGAACCGATGGTTCAACGATTTTTTTTATTAAATGAAAAAATAAAAAAAAATCGAACATTTTTTCTCAAGTATAAATCAAACATTAACATTGAAATGAAAAAACTTCTTTTTGCAAAATGTATAAATATTATAATATTTTTTATATTGTAATGTATTTTGCATAATAAATCAAAGGAAAAAAAGAAATAAATAAAGAAGGGCTTAAACTTAATTGAACTTAATTTTTGTAAACACTATAAAAATTAAGCTTCATACGTATCCTCTTGGGGTTTAAAGGAATAAAAACTTACGTAGTTCTCTTTTACATTTCAAATTACCCCTTTACAAATTACACCTATGTTCTATGTAGCTTCGCCTAATTGCTTTCTTGACCGAAAGTTTTGGCTTCAAAAGTTTCTATCGTTGTGCCATCGAGTGTTAGATTCACACTTTCTTCATTGAAATCATATTGTTTTTATTCTCGTGTTCTCTTGTTGGCTCTTATCCAATCATCCACGCATACTTAGGCTTCAAGTGACTCAAGAGCCAATTGTGATCGTCTATCATCTAAAATGTTACCTCCGGAGCTAAATGTTCTTTCAACGGTTGTTGTTGAAGCTAGCACAGCAAGTATTTATCTAGCTATTATGGACGAACCGAAAAGGTGCTTGCATATCTTTTCCACTAATCAAGTACTTCAAAATCTACACTCGCATTGTTATCACCAAACTTAAACACGGTTGTTAGATAAATATCAAGCTCGAAGTGGAGCATGATGATCCTGTTGGCCTTTTTGTCCTTTCCATGGCTATAAGATAACCGGCTCTAACACATTGTTTACTTGATGATGATTGTGGCATAAGTGGTAAAGAGGAACTAACATGTTGATCACCCACGATTAAAGACATTTCAATATATAAATTTATAACTTGATTTATAATAGAAGCAGTTTCTAATTCTATATTTCTATCAAATAATTGCAAATACTCATAGTAAGTATTCAAAACAACGAGAAAGACCTTCCATTCTAAATCTAGGATCAAACACTAAAGCAACAAGAAAAATAGAT